TAATCTGGTACTGCGTATGTGTGTGTATGTCTGTTGCCATGTTTACTACTCCCAAGTGTGGGCACAACAAAATCAGCATTCCTGTTTTCTTATTCAGCCTTTCTTATTCATAAGTGACAGAAATGATGACAAACTTCACTTCACTTGTTGGACCAGAGGGGAAGGAGATGTATGGCAGCTTTCTCCCGTGCCTAGTGTGTGCCATGGATCTTGACGTTCAAGACTAGTTTGACTATCTGAGGAAGCTGTTTTCGGATCAAGAAGAAGAAGGAGGCCGAGGAGCAAGAACAGTATATGACTAGTCTGATTTCTTCATTTAGCTCATATCCACTGCTCTTCCCAGTCTTTGTCTCCACAGATGTCATTGGTTGTGAGAACTGGGTCAGACCATGGCTTTAAGGTTTTGCAAAGCAGTGCTTAGTTCTTCTGGTTTTAAACCTGGAAATAAATCAAAACTATTTAATTAATCTTACTATATATTTCATAAGTACTCCAGGTTTGAAGTGTCTTGGACCTCAGTCATTAAACATATACCTTAATTATAATCTATATCCTTCTTAAGGACTGCCCTAAAATTACTGTTTCAAATCTCCATTTCACATGTGTATTTTTAGAATGGGAGGATAGGACTAATTTTAAGTTTGTTTGAATAAATATAATTGTGTATAACTATATTTTAAAATAACTTTATCGGTTACTGTGACTTCCATTTTGCTACCCCTTTAAAATATTTGTCTTGAAAGAACATTGTAGCATTGTCTTTAGCTTTCTTTTTTCTGACTCATGTGCTGGTGATTGACAGATACAGCCTTAGAAGCAGCATAGCAGTTTTTTGGACTGGGATCCCTGTCAGTGTATGCTGCTACATTGAGCTTTTCACCTCAGCTAGAACATGAATAACTTGTGCTTTCAGGAATTAAATGTCACATTCACAGTTTCTTTGATTCTTTTCTGATTGGTTTTCTTCGAACAGAAGGAACTGTTGTAATGGCCCCAGCTCAGATAGAGACCAGAGAACATATTCTTTTTCCCCTTTGGATTATTTTTTTTGACAGTCTTCCTGGTTTTGTCAGATTGTTCAATATACCGTTTTGCTCACATGGGAGAAAACAGTTATTATGTTTTACTTGCCAATGGCGCAGAAAATGACATGAGTGTTTTGCTTATTGATCATCTTAAAGTTCTTCATGAGCATTAGGCATCTATAAAAATTGGTTATTACTTTTGATTAGAACCAAGATTATTTTCTTTTTCTTTTAAGATGCACCTATTTTGCATGCAAGTGATTTAGAACAGTGTCATTAGTAAAATATGTGAGAGATACTACCGATCAGACACATACGTTAAGTATTCTGGTGTCACTATGAACATAAGCTTGTTACAGAGACCTGTTGTTGGCAAGCTCATTTTGAAAAAGTCATTATTATAAATTGCTTCAACTAGTCAGATCATATAAAATCTACTTGTACTGTAATATTCCAGATGCTTTATTACTGTTCTTCAGTGTAGTGAGTTGCCAATTTCTCCCTCCTGAGAATGTATGACAGATTGTAATACAATCTGTTGACGTTCTTGATTGTAACTAAAGTATATCATTGTCACCCATGCTAAAAAGCTGGGACATATAGTGTAAATATGTAATTTTGTGAAATGCATGCTCGTGTTTTGTGTTCCAGCAATTTCAAATGGTACACGACAATATACTTGATCTGGTGAAGAGGCGAATCAGAGCCAGAAGAAAACAGCAGATAATTAAAGCAGTAAAATATAGTGGATACACTGATTCTCTGAACAATACATGTTAAATTGTCTTTAGTGTGTGTGCAGGCATTTGAAGAAAGGGAGAGTCAAAAAAACAGAGGAAATTATATTTTTGTTGGTCCCACCCTGCATTTTCTTCTATAAAAGGTCCAGGCACAACAGCCGTACCAACACAACGTTGCAGATGGCTTGAAAGTGAATGGCAGAAAGGAAGTAAGTTCACATGCTTGTGCCACAGCACCTCACTGAGCTGTCACAGAAGGGCAAAGGCATGGCATGGTGTGTGCTCTGGTCTATGAAGGGAGGAAGAGACTTTTGCAAGGTGATGAGATTCTTGTGCTGTGGGGCCAAAAAAAGAATTCATGGTGGATTAAAAGAGTGAAAAATATCACAGCCAAGTCAATGACAGGAAATTAGTTAGGAAATGTAGATTATTTCCTCCCTTCCCCTGTGGAGGAAGATCAGGGATAGAAAGGCTTTATTTGTTCCCTCACCATCATAATTTCTTAATGTATATTTCCCTCTCAACTTCCTTTCCATCATAGTGTTTCTTCATTCAAGTTCTTTGTGGTTGGAGCTCAGGGAAGTGTTAGGCACATTCCCACTTAGCAAATGATGTAGCTACCTAAAATGTAGCTGACTTGGTCTGGTCCTCTCACTCTCTCACATCTACACATGTAGTATCTTCTCTGAGCACCTTGGTCATGAGACTGGAGACCTAGACCTGCCACCAGCTTTGGGTACTGCCACTGTGTCATACTCTCAAAGCTCTTATAACCCACAGCGGGATTCACGTGTAGCTTGACCTAACAGTGACTGCCTATTAAAGCAGTGGTCCTGCTCCCCTTGTCTATGTTTGGCTTCTCCCACTTGATTGGAAGTTGCAGTTGTGCAGCAGAACACCACCCTGCAGAATCACAGCTCATTTTTGTTGGTCCACCACTTGTGGCTGTGCAGACTTGGGGTAGGACTCAGACAGCTTTAGAAACCTTCCCCTGGAGGGCTTCCCACTCCAGGAGTGCCAGTTTGGATGGGCTCCATAGAGCTGTAACACAACATTGTGCCATCAGATTTCCCAGTGGAGATAGTGATCCTTCCTTCCTGCACATAGTGCTTCTGTGTTCCCAGATGGACTGTACCCCACAGTCATGAGATACTAACATTTGGATATACTGTGTTACAACAGCAAAGAAAAAGAACTTGTGTTTTCCACATTTCAAATACTTAAATAGGGCTGTATGACAGGAACTCTCCTGTGGTCTGTCTAGGCAACACATAATCCTGAGGATGAGTCTTGAAGAAAGAAAGAAAGGAATAAAGTAAGACATGGTGGTTTTAAGCCTTTTTCCCTTTAAACCCAATTTCCCCTCCTCTGCTTCAGCTGACTGTTTTCCAAGGCTTCAGGGTTTTTTATTTTTTTCCCCTTCCCCTGTTAATTTTGTAATACATGGATTAGCAGACAAAGAGAAAAAAATGAGGTGGTAGCTTTACTGCTAGTCTTCTACTAAATGTCTTGGAAAGATACAGTAATCATAGAATCATAGAATAGTTAGGGTTAGAAAGGACCTTAGGACCTATAACAGAAACTGTCTCTTGGAATTCAGGTATAAGATCAGGCTCTGTCATAGTGAAAAGCACAAGACACAGCTGCTCTACTAAAATTGTAAGTAGTACATGCACATTTGTAAACACACTTCATGGAATACATTGGAAACAGCATGTAGCTATCTCAGGCTATAATTTGGTCTGAGACAGAAAATAATGATGTTAATTCACAGCTCTATTAATTACACTGAAAGTGTTATTTTTTAAACATGTCACATTGAAAACAGCTTTTGTTCTTAATTGTATTTGATTTCAGTAGAGAAGCTCTGTAATTTCCATGGTGTATGAGGTAGCTGTGAGTACACACTGGAACAAAAAGCTGATTTATAAAAGGTATGTATATTGGAAAGGAATTACTAGGTTCTGCCTACATCTTTGAAAGGAGCTCATAAAGTCAAATAGGTGGTCCTGCTTCCCTGGCAGCTTGTGAAGCCATTCACTGGGAACCAGATCAACTTTCAGTTAAGCATGTTGCTCAGGTCCTGTTCTGTCTTTGCTTGTGCTGAATAATACCTCCCATTGGGAAGTCAATCATTTCCATGTTGTCAAACCAGTAATTGCAGAGGTGGCAAAATTGGTAGGTTACTGTACAGGCAAATTTTATTTACATGATATTTTAAGTTTTAGGAGAACTAGGAGTGTTTTTATTCTTAGAAGGTTGAATATAGTTTCCTGAATATTGTAGAAAAGTATATAGTTCCATTAGTTAATTTAAATACTGCATAAAACTCAGTAAGTGGCTGTTTATTTACTACGAGCCAATTTAAATATGTAATATTTGGGTTTTCTTCTTTCTGAACATGACTAGTCCTATCTGTGGACTATGTTACTGTACAAAGGGAAAGTATTAATTGTATACGAAGATTTGAAATATACATGTATATACTTGCTTTTTCTGGTAGCAGATGGTGCTGAAAGAAGATCATCTCAAAGGGGTCATTGCAAGATAATATGGAGATCAAACAAACAAATTTATGTCTTAAGATAAGTCACGTTCAGTAACATAGACTTTTGTTTTAAGGTGATACATTGCCGGTAGTTTAAATATTAACAAAAAATTTTCTGTGGTACCCAATACTTCCGCATGCAAGTAGGCCTGTTAATGTCAAAAATTTCCAGACTAATGCCCTTTGTCTCTTTGTTATTTTTATAACATCTATTTCCTTAAAATTCCTCACGAGATCAGCTAACGATAGCGTTATTAAACTGAACATGATGAAAAGAGAGCACTGAGGCACAATCAGCCATTTTCTGCAGTGATATTCTTAAGACGTTATCTCTAAAACCCCAATAAAATAGTGTCATAAATGTTGTCTTGGATTATTTTCAAAGCTTAGTCTGTTCTGACACCAAGCTTCACAGATCCATCTGGCTTTTAAGTATGCATTTCTGTTCAGACTGTGATGAGTTTGGTGGCCCTGGCTGCTTTTTCGGGGAGCAGCCCCTCCTTTTGCTACATCTGCTCATGGGGTTTTCCTGTAAAAGAGCCCCCACAACTATGAGCATATTTATATATAAATATAAGATAATCTCAGCATGAAAAATTTTAAAGTGATGAGGAAAACTTTCAGGAATTCACCTGGCTGAACCGTGCTTAGCCAGGCTGACCCATTTTCTGGTTTCTCTCCCTGCAGGTTGCTAGCTTGTGATGGAGGGATTTCTGTAACAGTGTGGGCTGGGTCATCGAGATAGCTGCTTAGAAGTGCCATGAACCCTATTTATTATAGTGAAAGGGAAAAACCCCACAATGATGATAAACTGTGATACTGAATAAAGGGAGTTGGCAGTCACCGTTTATGTGGACATGGAATATGACTTAGAAATTGGAAAGATTGCTATTGCTACTCCTGTGTGAAATATTAATTTAAAACCATTGCACAGAAACATTTGGGCTTTGCTTTTATTTTTTATTATTTTCAGGGAAGAAAACAAAATTAGTAGTGATAGACTTTGTATATGTACTTACTAATTTTTGTGAAGAATGCTCTATAAACATAAGCCATATTTTCCTGTGGATTAGTATATATCACATTCTGTTCTACATCAGGACCATTGTTTTGTCCTCCAACAAATAGATAGTTCTCTTTAAAGGATAAGAAATGAGAAGCATGGCAGTAGGTCAGTGGGTAATATATATCTGCTCTCACTTGTTTAAATTTTATTTCCTCTTTACACCCTGGCTCAGCAGTATCTGGAGACTTGTTCCCTGGGCTAATGCAGTCTTTCCACATGAAAAGTGCTTGATCTGTTCCTTATCTACACTCCAGTTGCTGGCACCAGTGTTTCATCTGCTTGGTGTGAAAATGCACAGAAAGCAAATACGTATCACTCCAGTGCTGAGGTATCCTTCTTCTAGAATCTTTAGCTCAGCTTAGTTTCATTAAGCGAGGTTTTTCCTTTCAGCAATATACATGACCTCTTGTCCTTCACCCTAGAGAGAGAGTGAAAAAATAAAGAAAGGAAAAAGGTCTATGAGGTTTCAAAAGCAAAAATGCTTGGAGCCATACTGCCTTTCAAAGAGAGATAGTGAAATTTACCTTGTGTATCTAAACATATATAGAATTATTACATCCTTATTATTGCACATAACTACACAGACGCATACGCGCACATTCACTCACTCTACTTGTGACATGGTAGCTATTAACAATGGTGTTCTCAAAAAAAATAAAAAAACCTAGCGCTGTTTGTTGCTAAAACCTTTTTTCTGCTATTAGCATCAATACAAGTCCATGCTGCACATTAGCTAAAATAATTAGTTCAATTTATCATGTCCTTTTTTATTCTAGAGCTTTTATGTGGTATTTATAGATGTTCATTTAAAAACGCACATCTGCATAACACTGATTTTTTTTTTTAGAGAAGCAAAGGCTTGTTTGCTCTTATTAACTGGTATGATTTGGGGCTCAACATTATGAAAATCAGATTACTATTAATCTACTAAAATTCATTACACTTTAACCTCTAGCATGACATTCTGAAATCTGGAATATCTCTTAGATCTCACTCAAGGAAACTCAGAGATTATTTTATGAATATTAAAAATAAAATAATTTTCAATGGAGACTTCCTATTCAAAACCACATTTGCAGTAATTTAAATTAACATTCCCTGTAAACCCCCACAAATCTCTGCACATCAGAGGTGATTAAAAAGAAATTAAAAAAAATAAGAGGGTGATGAACTGCCACAACAGCTTAGCCATGCACACACTATTCAATTACCAGATTACCAATAGAAGAGAGAACTGTAAATCATAATGGTGAAAAATTTCAGTGACATGCCACAAGCCATGTATTGTATCAGTCAGAACAAAAAGAATGTAAGAAGGTAGCAGAAGTAAAGCCCTTAATTCACTGATTGTGTGTTTAAAAAATTAATCATTGTAATATTTAATTATAAGCTTTTATATGAATAATTTAATAAAATAAATCAGGAGCTTATAGGAAGACAATCTTAATACAGTAATAAGTATGGGTTTTCATGTGCCTCTTCTATTTCAGATTATTGTTAATTATAGATATGAACAGTTCTAAGTACCTTCACATGTAGTGTTTAATTATCAATATTTGTAATTTATCATCTTTGCATAGTCGCTCCGTATTGGTATTATAATATCTTGTTTTTAATTAAAATTAATACAAAATTTGGCATATGTAAAACTCCTAGCATTATGTAGAGATAATTATTTACATAAAAAATGAAGTCTATTTATATAAAAAGTGAAGGCCTTTGACAGTGGGAATGTTATCAGCAGCTACTGACCAACCATCTTCTCCTCAATAATTAAAGAAGCAAGTAAATGTACTCAAATTTAGCTTTTTAACCTCTGCAGTTATGCAGTCTCTGTGCTGACTGTAGACAGTAGTGAAAGATACTGGCATTATTCCAGGGACATTTCTCTCAGCCTTAAATAAATACCATAGAATTGTAATCAACATATTGTGTGCAGATCCTGCTGAGCTAAATTTCTTTTCATAATGAGTGTTCTTAAGCATTTGAAATAGAAATCAAAATCATAAATTCTTTTTGTACGGGATTAAAAAAACATGAAGTACTCCAGTATTTGATCTTGAAAGTTTGCTTTTGTAAACAACTGTGGTCAAACCCAAATTTTGATATAAAGTTATTAATTCTTTCATTCTGCTCAATCTTTATGGGGTTTGAATAACTAATGGGTCCAATTCCATGAACTATTTCCCTGCCAGTTTGGTTTACCAGACTTTTCCTTATATTAGGAGACAATAATTTGCAGCGTCAGTCCCTGAGGACTTTATGAAGAGGATTCAGTCTTCACTTATGCCTGGGTGGGGTTTGTATTTACAATTGCTCTGGAGTTGTGTGGTAGGCTGCAGGAAGTTTTGCAGGATTAAGACGACTGTGGTGAGTATATGCTTTTATTTCCAAACAAATCCTGCTTGTATTATTTTTGAAAGGTTACTGAATATATATAACAACTTCAAATGAGACTAACTGACCATCTGGCTTAAAAGATTCATCGCCAGGAGATTCATAGCACCCCTATTTCAGGATTACACCCAGTTCCCTATTATTGTTGCAGCTACCAAAAATACAGCCCATTTGAGGCTTAATTCCTCAAACACAGCTCACCATGAGTGGTGTTAAATGAACTCAGCAAGCACATAGTCCAGATTTTTAAAGAAATGTGTAGGTTTCAAGATACTGAAAAGCTTCATGCTTACTAGCAGAGATGGCAATTACATGTGTAAGTGCTTTGAAAAAGATCTTCAAAGCCAGTATCTGTGTTGCAAACTACCTAAATACATCTCAAGTAAGTAAACAAGTTACCATACCCTTATATGCTACTATAAACTCTTGAAAATCAAAGGCAGAAGAAGCATTGAGTTTAGTATTTGAACAGACTGTGAATTAAGGCAGCCTGTGCAAATCCAAGGGGTATACAGCTGAGATACTTGGCAGGAAAGATTAGAGCATGGTGGCTGTATTCATATCTGAGTATACCTCCGCCACTTCAGCTCATGGCTCACTGTTCTCCCTAGGGCAGACAGCTTGTCACCTCAATTTAGGAGATAGCAAGGTGTCAGTAAGATTTGGCTCAGTGAGAGTTGTCCTTGTCGATTCACTTCTTGCTTTGAGAAATCTGTATTTAAATGCTCATTAAGAAGATTTTACACATTACCTTTTTCTCCACTTCAGATCTATTACAAAATTACAGTGATATTCATGATATAGTTTACTAAGTTAATTATCACTTGTGAAGCTCAGTCTTCTCCTGCCCACCATTTCTTTTGCAGCTATTTAGACATGCCAGTTTTCTTCATTGGCAGCAGCCATTCTAAGGTCTTAATTTACTAACATTTAAAATGTTTTGTTATCTCAGGTGTCTCACTGGGGTTCTCTTAGCTGGGTATTGCTAGAATTCTGTTAGAACTGGTCAAAAGCTTGCTTCAGGATGTCATGTTTAGTAGGTGATAATAGTGCTGGTTGGTGGCTGAGAACAAAGGCTGCTGAAATTGCCAGAAAGAAGCCAATCCCTCTCAGAAAATTAATAATCAGAAAATGGTCTTTGCTAATGGTCGTACCAAAGATGGATCATGAATTTGTTAGGAATCAACATGCATTATCTGCTGAATGCAGGCCAAGACTGCTGTTTGACATTTACCTGAGTAATAGAGGGAAAAGTATCCAGCTAGGAAAGTAAATTACTGTGCTAAGAGGAGGAGGATTCCTACCCATCTAAGCCATATAAAAGTTCTTCTCTAAACAAATACAGTAGAAATTGGCAGAAAAAAACACTTAAGTAGGAATTTCAATTGCAGCAAGCTATGAGAAGAAATGTAATATTTATTCCACTTGCACCTGCACATTTTCTTCTCTTTGGGTGACACAGTTGTTATCTGTAATAATAAGGCACTGTAATAGGCACTATGCAGTAGTGGTAAGGAAAGACTCCCTTCCCAGAAAGGCTGTGGTGTAAATGTGACAGTCTAGGTGTCAGGCTGGGCCTTCTCTGCTGACTGACATGGTGGCAGCAGCACCAGCCACATGGCACAGCTGGGGATGGCCCCACGGAGGAAGCACACCTTCCTCCTCCTTCTCCTGCTCTCACATGTGCACTGTCTCATGTGCACAAGGACCTGCACAAGAGCTATATTCTTGGGTGAAAAAGTCATTGCTGGTGCGATGGAAGAATCACTTGGAATGAATTTTACTTGCAGGTGACCTGTTGGTTCAGTATGTGCTAAGCAAACAAAATAAAGCAGGGGAAAAGGAAAGCAAGAGCCATGGAATGACTTACTTCTAAGGCTGAAATTCTTTTCCTATTTAAATATAGATTTATTTTTATTAAGCTGAAGACAACTGACTTTTGGACCACCTAATAAAGACATCATCTTTCTCCATTACCCAAAGTTTCAAAATCAGGATGTGAGGTCTCTCTAAAAGACGTTCTAGCTAAACCATAAATTATACAACCAAACATTGAATCTATGATCAGATTTAGAAGATCATCACAAAAGCCCTGTGTGGGGCCCACAAAAACTACAGGTCTGTTATTTATGAAGTGTCACAGAGGAACAGTTGTGCACTGTGAAAACCAAGACTGGCTGAAGTCCTCAGTGCTAACTTACAAATTCTGATAGGATCACTTATGTTTTATGTAAATACACTTTGAAATAAATGCCTAAAACCACTCTCAGGGGGCAAGATCTATAAATTAAACATAATCACATAGGCAGTGTACACAAGCACTTTTTCATAGTAATGCATGTTGCCTATCCTAAAAGTACCTGTTTATGACAATACACTAATTTAATTTACTAAAATAGGGTATTTATAAAAAAATTCAGGAACGTGTTTGTCTTCCCTGGTGAAAGTAAGGTGTTAACAGCTTTTGAATGATACACAGTATCACATTTTGTAGACCTTGGGGATATAAAGTGGAATCAGCTTTGTTTATGGGCACAAAAG